GAGCAGATATGTGAATATTGCAAGAAACCGAGGCATACAAAGGACACTTGCTGGAAGCTTCATCCTGAGCTTCTTCCTGATAGGTTTAAGAATAACAAVAGCTCTAAGAAGGGCAGTCAAGTAGGAAAGACTAAGGTAGCTAATGTTGCTACAGTACCTGAAGGAGAAAATAAGGAGAATGAAGAGAAATTAACCATTGAGCAGTTGGCAGCAATGAAGGCGGATTTTGAAAAGTATGAGAGGCTTCTAAATCACTTGGAAGCTATTGTTTCTTCATCTCACTCTTCCAACAACAACACATCATCTTCATCAGCATTTGCTCACTCAGGTATTCGTGTTTCTGCAAATCATGCTTCAGTTTCAGGTAAGCAAAAAATCCTTTGGATTATTGATTCCGGTGCATCAGACCATATGACCAGCCTGTCTAATCTCTTTTGCTCATACCACCTTCTCTCTGGAAAAGTGAAAATATCCCTTGCTGATGGGTCTCTTGCTCCCATCTCTGGTAAAGGAGATATAAAGACCTCTGACACCCTTTATTTATCCTTTGTCCTTCATGTCCCTAAACTTAACACAAACCTTTTATCTGTTAGCAGCTTAACTGAATCCATGAATTGCAGCATAACCTTTTTTCCCACTCATTGTGTTTTTCAGGACCTGCAATCTCAGAGGATGATTGGGAGGGACCATGAGACGAACGGAATATACTTGCTGGACACACCAGATCGAGCTTTGGGACCACCTCATGGAGTTGCCTTAGAGTCAGTTTTGTTAGAGTCTGTTAACAAAGTCTTGTTATGTCACTTTCGGTTTGGTCATTTGTCATTTTTTGCTTTGAGTCATTTGTTTCCAGATATGTTTAAGGGAGTGTCTTTATCGAGTCTTCATTGTGAGTCGTGTGAACTGGCAAAGCATTGTAGACATTCTTATTCAGTAAGCAATAAAAGATCTCTTTCTCCTTTTCATATTGTTCACTCTAACGTGCACCCGCTTTGTATCTCGAGATGTCACATTTGCTGAGTTGACTCATTTTTTTAGCATTTCTCCTGAGGGGGAGAAATCTGAAGAGCCATTTGCTATGTCTCCAGCTATTCCTCTTGAGTCCTATCATGAGGTGTCTACTTCTCCCACTGGACCTACCTCCGATATTCCTATTCCTCCTCATCCACCTCATTCTCCTATAATTCCTCCTCCTCCTGTTCTCCAAAGGTGGTACCAAAGGCAGAGATTCAGACATGGGCAGGTTGTTTCCACTCCTACAGAA